GGATACCTAGTGGTTGAGCACTGCAGGGATACTTTGCGGTTGGGCAGTGTAAAGATATTCAGCGCAAGGGCACTGCAGGGATATTTAGTGGTTGGGCACTGCAGGGATATTTGGTGGTTGGGCACTGCAGGCGTACATGGAGGTTGGTCACCAAAGTCAGCCTCCAGTCGGGCGAGGACAATATTTACCTTAAGATCTAACAACCCCTCTGCGAGGGTGGGGGAGGAAAAAAAAACGGCCTCCCGTCTGTGCCAAATACCGTTATTTGTGCAATGGGACCAGCTGAGCACCTCTCATCACAATCTTGCGCAACAAGACCCTGCAAGCCCTTGGCGGGGACATGGATGTTGCAAAGGGTGCTGCGAAACATGGCAAAGCCCGCTCAACGTCTCTGCAAATCTTCACTGAAGCTGCGAGCGCCCGCGAAAGGGGTGGCGAAAGGGTTGTTCTTGGGAGATTTTTTTTTGGACGAACCTTTGACAGCGCCCATCTGGAAAAACTGCGTGCCCTTGACACTCCGTGGAACGGAACAAACGGACGACCACCGCACGCAACACGACCTTGCAAGGCCATGTCGTGGAGGCGGACTGGGCTGCCTACGTTGGTTCTCGTGAGGCATGTTTAAGACCGAGAACAGCTGCCCAACCAGTATTTACAGATTCCCCCGTGATCGTAGGACCCGAAAGAAGCAGTTATTGCCAAAGAAGGACACAAGAGGCCCCTGCCAATAGAGGATTCCAGAAATTCAATCAAGAGGTCTAATGGACGTCCCTGCTCATAGGACAATGATTGCAGGGCAGAATGCGACGAACAAAAAATTGAAGAGGTCCTTGCTGATGCATTCCAGCTGACGAGCGAGAGGAAAAAAAACAATATGGCATTTGTAGCTGCACGGCCTTGCGCTGCTGCTTGGCAGTGCGTCTACAAATGTTCGGCCATTTTCACTTTTCACCGCCGGACGCTTGTTTTGAGGTTCCGTTGAAAAGTAAGTGGAGCAGTTCGAAAATCAGGGGGCAAGTGATGACAAGTGAGGCTAGGAAAGCAAGGATCCGGCAAGGATCTTTCAAGGGGGCAGGTGCCACACCATTGTATTGTTGACTGTCTGGCAATTCATATGCCTGGGACGGGATGTTTGCTCAGCGAAGTTTTTTGCAGCTGACGATGGGTCCGGTTGCGTATTTGTGGGCCCGAGTGCGGCCGTAAGCTCCAGGAGTTCGGCCGGGTTCATGCAGGCATAGAAACCTTACAGCGAATCATGCTGGGATGCGGCCGGATGAATGGTTCTGTTCTCGCCACGTTTTTATTGATGTCCGCGTCATTTTTCCAAGGACATGAATTCAATTTACATCAAGCAAGGGGGCATGGAAATTGAAAAGACACATAAAGACACGTTGTTTCCATTGCCCCTGCGGTTTCAACAGCGCCGGGGTTGATTTGCGAAGGATATTTTAAAAAAGACGAAACGCATCTAGGGGAGGCTTTGCCCAGAAAGGCATGCAGCAGTAGTCGCCATAATATGTCGCCATGCAGAAGCCGCCGGTGCGGCAGCAAGTCGGGTGCATGGTACCGCAAGCGTAGAATCAAAAAGCACAACGCTTGTAGCAGCTCTAGGACCCACATTCCGTTCGCAGCTTTTGCTCAAAACAGTCATGCAGCTTGGTCAAAACATATATTTTTGAATATATAACAAACATCCGGATTTATAAAGTCCATCATTGTTTGCAGGATAGTCACTGCCCCTGTCACTGCCACAAGCCGACAAGCCCTCTTGCAGCTTGCATTTTTCGCAACTTCGAATTTTTTCAGCATGGCTTCGGACTGGGAAGAGCTGGCGGTTGCAATTGCTGACAATGAGCATGCGTACATGACCATACCAGCTTTGCAAATACAAATTGGCCCGCACGCAGTTTCCATGGATTGTTTGCAAATTGTGTATTCGGAAGGCGCTTGGGGTGACCTTGTTGGCGTGTTCCATGTGTCGCCGGGCGTCGGGCCGAACAAAGGTCAGCACAGTCAACTCTATGTTGCTGTGGCCTCCACCTCGGACCTTGGCCATTGGACTGTAGTCAATGACTCTTTACCCTACGCTGAGGCAGGCTCCATGGGGTTCATACACATCGACAGCTCCAGTGGAGTGACATTTCTGGCATATGAAGCGGAGAGTTCCAGCGGAAACGCAGTGTTCATCCGCCGCTATGCAAACATAGCTATCATGCTTTCAAAGGCTGGGATTTTTGATGAGTGGCAATTGACCAAGCAAGTTCACGTGGCTGGTGCACCAAGGACTTGGACAGCGGACGCGCGCAGTGTGACAAATGTCGGGACACCAAGTATTGAATGCCTGGTGGGTGGCGACTTGACAATACGCTGCCACTATTCCCCCGATGGCGCTCACGACTACCCAGCCAAAGGAATGGTTTCGCTGGGGTCCGAGGGTGGAATTGAGCAAAATTGGGCCAGTTGGGCGGGTTTCTTCGACAACTGGGTGAACGATTCACTTCGCACACTGGGCGCGCGTGGGAAGATTGGAGGGCGTGATGCAATCAGGTGGCAAGGGTTCTGGACGCTCATCAATGAAGCGCAGATGGTGCAAGACGACTGGAGCTCCTGGAGGGTCTACCTCCTCGTTCCAGAGTTGCGGAAAGCTGTCCCCATACCGTTGTCCATCAGTGGCACACGCACTTTTGCAAATCCACATATGACGTTGCTTCCTGGAAAGCGGCTTTGTAGCACTTCAGTTTTGTTTTTTTGGTTTGTGCTGTGGTGTACCAACAACGGTGTGATAAAGAGGCTTTTGCAAGGTAAATGTGTCAGCATGTTTTTCAGAAACATGTGAGCATAATGCCAGGCGGCTGCTTCAGACTTATTTCGTGCCGAGTCAGAAGGAAGGCACACTTCAGCCTGGAACACTTTTGAGGGCTTCGCAGCTATGACGACATGACAGAAAGAACGCGCAACACTTTACGGCAAGTAGGTGAGTTTTATGCCTGGTGTTAGAGCGAAACAATCATATATAGAACGAATTCCATCCCCGTTTGTTCTATGTTGTTCATTGCTCTCGTTTTACTGCTTGGGGTGGTTGGTTGTAAATTCGGACATGTATCTGCAACGATCATGCCATATTCCGGCGCGTTTCACATCAGTCGAGTACGGGCTACCGGCCCCTACCAGAAACAAACAACTAAATCAAGACAGGTATGCACCTTGCATGCTCCAAGACTGGAATGCGACTGCTGGAGCGCAAAAGGGTGCATGCTGTTGTTTGGATGGCTAAACGTATTTTGCACAATCCTAGTACAACATTTCCTTAACTGTAAAAAAATGTCATCGCATGAACTATAACCTAAAACTCCTTAAAGCCGGGTTCATACCGGATTCTATGGGGGCGATGAGAAAGTTTTTAATGGGATACTACCGGAGTTTAGACTTAAAACCCAAACCTTCATTCCTTACACCCTAGAATCGTGAAGGGGGATACTAGGAGTTCAGACCATAGCTCACATGAAAAATTTGGGGAGATGCATCCATCCCAAAGTTGACGTTCTACAGGCGATTTTTCTGCAGCTTGCTGCTGTGTTGCGGGAATTTCCCAAACTTAGGGGTCTCTTTTTGAGGTTTAGTGCTTAGGGTTTAGGAGGGGTCCCGTTTCAGGGGTTCCAACAATAGGGACTATAGTATAATCAGGTTTATATTGAAAATTAGGGTCGCCTATTTTGGGAAAGTACCTGGTCGCAAAATTCAAGCGTCTGGGAGTGATGTGCCTGGTCCCAGGGGCTTGTCCCACTCAGCCTGCGTGCTTTACAGAACATTTTGCAGTAGGCTTTTGTTGAATTGATGGATGTAGGGAAGGGTGGATGGATGCGTGGATGGATTGAGTGGTCGTGGCGTATTGGCATAGCACATGTGTGCCCCAAACAGTATTGCATCAGTAGGCACTAAGCCCATCATGCTTTAAGCCAGGCCGCCTGCCCACGCCTGCGCCCCCAAAATGATGGTCTCGAATGGGAATACTATAGTACATGTCAAAGCACTCAGTATTTGTAGTCGTGTGTCAGGTTCAAGGGTCACTGACTGTCCATCCGGCCCCCGTGTGCCCTGTTGATGGGGTGTTGCGAAAGCTGGGAGTGCTGCGAGGAAAAAACGTACATAGGCCGCTGGGTTGCGATTTGCAAGGACCCTCCTAGTACTTTCGAATACTTTCGAATATGTGTATATGGTCCCTAATGGTGGGAATTACTGGCGTAATGGAGGGTGGAAGAAAGGTCTAGGAAGAGGCTTGGGTTCCCTTAAACTTAGGTATGCCAAGGTTCAGGCGGTACGCGAAGCAGGTGGTATGCATTGGGGGATTGCGGGTCAAGATCATGATTGCGATCGGGAGCAATTATGTCAGATCCCCCGTAAAGTCTTTCCTGAGCCACGCGGAATCTTTTGGCATGGGGTCATCTAGGGCCAGATGGGGTGTAGGGCTTGAACTTTTCTGGGAAGGTTCAGCCGGGGCTCGAAGCAACATGTGGATGGTTGTGCCCTGCTCTCGCGAACCATCGCTGCCAAGCCACTGCCCAACTCTGACCACACAACCAATGGTTTCGCTGTTTAGGGTTTAAGGTTTGTGGTTTAGGTTTCCCCAAAAAAGGAAACCCCAATGTAGATCCCAAAGTACTACAACCCTTCGAAAGGTACCCGTAATTTGGGGAAGCCCTCAAATTCAACCAAGCCCTTCTAGCATGCCACCTGAACATTACCTAGACGTAATTTGAGTTCCGTGACAGCAACTCAGGCTACTGCCGGGGAACGTTCGAGACATGCACAAATCCTGTATGTCACGCCTACAGGCTGGATTTGCAACCACGACCATGATTGGGTATTCCTACAGGTTTCGAACTGGTGTGGTATTTGATGTGTTCGATGTTTTTGGTCTAGCTGTTGCGGTTTCGTTTGCGGCTTTGTGCCGCAGAGAGATTGTGGCACATGGTGTTATATGCCTTGGGCGGCAATACTCTAACGCGATGATGGGTGAAGACAAGGGAAGGGAGGCCATGGTCTAGGGTTTAGGGTTTAGGGATGGTCTCTGCTCAGAATGGGGCTCCCAGAAAAGTCCGTTTTGATGGGAGCTCCATATCGAATGTCTACGAATTTGGTTGGGGAGTACGTGTCTGAAACGGTTTCAGTGACCCACAGTCCTGTGGTTTGCCCCGTTACTCATTGCATAAATGTAGCTCAAGAAGCTGTAAGCAAATGATGGTGCATGGGTTTAATGGCTACATTGGGGGTGTCTCTACATGACAGGAACACTTGGCAGCTCGAGTAATCATAACCAATGTATGACTGGCACTTATAGCGCAATTACAACCTAATTAGGGGACTCAAGGTGTGCGTAAATGGGCTACAAGTACAAGTATAATTGGGTTACCTAAGCCGCAAAAGAGTTGGGTGACACTTACCCAAAACCCTCAACCCGAAATCAGCTCGGTCAAAATTACTCCGAACCTCCAGTCAGAGACTATCGCAAGGCTGGCGAGATGTGAGCCAGACTGGACAGAAGAGCTAGATGAGGACAACCCGCTCGGTTCCCGTGACTGGGAGGGCTTACGGTTTAGGGATCTAGGTTTAGGGTTCAGGGGTGAGGGTTATAGGATTAGGGTTTAGGCATCAGGGTTTAAGGTTCCTGGCTTCTTACACGAGTATACTTCCAGGTGGTTAGTTGCCAGTGGCCCCATGTCAGTCTCACATAAGGCTCGCCTAGAGGCAATGGGCTATATGAGGCCTCGGTAGAAGTCTCCTGTAACTGCCCACTCAGGGGTTTTGTTGACTTATCCTCTCGCCCTAGTAACCCCCACCCCTACCAGTAGATATTCCCAATGCGCCATGGGATTATTTAGTATAATGGAGCTTCAACGCTAGGGGGAGGGGTTACTAAGGAAACCAGTCACCAAAGTACACTTTTTTTTGTTGTATGTCTATGTCTTTTTCATTTAGCTTTAATTTACTCAGCAGTTACATCAGCCCTACATAACGTCAGTTTGCATTTTGATTGGAGATTCCATTGTAGTAGGCCCAAAACCCTCAACGCTTAATCGTACATAAGCTCTAAACCTTAAACCCTGAGCCTTGTTTCCTGCATCTTTAGCAGCCTGAACCCTAATCCTTGAATCCTAAATCGTAAACCCTGAACCCTGAACCCCAAATCCTAAATCCTAAGCTCTAAACCTTGCCTCAAGTTCCCCAGCAGCAAACCCAGGTGAGGAGCTTCTGCGAGGGTTAGCTGTGTGCGCACGGCTCTGCTACGGCGCGGGCTTTATTTCAAGAGAGGATGCTGGGGCATTTGGGGTTTAGGGTTTAGGGTTTAGCATTTAGGGTTTAGCATTTAGGGTTTAGGATTTAGGGTTTCGGCTTATGTTGGGTCATTCCCCCTTACGGTAACTGTCTTTATAGGGGTCTTGACGAAGGGGATAATTGTTATAGCTCCATTTTCCCTTTGTTGGGAACAGTCATTGTAAGGGGGAATGATCTAAAGTTTCGGGTTATAAGGGTTCAGGGTATGTCGGAGTTAGGGTTTAGGCTATTCAGGGATGAGGGCAAACAGTAAGGTATTTAGGAGTTGGGTTTAGGGTATCAAGGCATTTGGGTTTAGGCCATATATAGTCTAGAGTCTAGGGTATTTTTTCTGGATTGGGATTTGGTTTGGGGCGTTTAATGAGGGATTTGGGGTTTAGGGATTAGGGGCAAGAAGTATGGGGGGGTGGGAGGGGTTCAGGATATGTTAAAAGATGGCTGAGCCAAGCAAGTGTATATGTTTTCCACACAAAAGTGCAAGCAAGAGGAGGCGGTAATCTTACACCTGGTTGCAAGCATTGTCACCTGCCTTTTCTTTGGCCAAATGTAGCCGCAACCCTAATTTGTCGGCACGATCGACGTTTTTCGAGTGTCAACAAAGGATGCCCAAGGCCCGAGTCCTAAACCTCAAAATCCTAAAGCCTAAGCCCAAAACAAAAACACGCCCTAAACTTTAGATCCTGAAAACAAGCCTCGAACTCTAAAGCTCCAAGCCCCGAACCCTGAAAATGCTATAGCCCTGAAACCTTCACCCCAAGAAAGATGCCCAAGGACTGGGGTAAGGCAGACCCTCCACTCAACGGAGAAGGCTGGGTGGTTATAGAACAGATCTTGGAAAATTTGACTCTTGGCACTAAACCCTAAACCCTAAACCGCGTGGCTTCGAGTTTAGGGTTTGGGTTTAGGTTCAGGATCTTAGTAGATGAAACAATCGCCCCAAAGGTTCCCCCTAGTCTGGGTTGCCGTTAAAGAACTTAAATTAAGTTACTCTATTGGGGAAAGTTACTATATTATCCCCCTATAATGGAGAATCAAATGGAAAAGAAAATGGAAAATGAAATGGAAACTGGGGGAATATAGGGGTTTAAGGAACTGAAATTAAGTTACTCTATTGGGGAAAGCCTATTCTTTCCTTTATATACCCATTATGGTAACTTAACTTAAGTTCCTTAACAGCAACCCAGTAGTTCACCCTAAGCAAGCCTTATTAAGGTTCCGCCTTCCAGAAGAAGGGTGGTTTCGTGTTCAGGGTTGAGGGTTCCGGGTAGGTACTCCAGAATCGCCGCACGTATGAGCTCCAAATTTTTACCCCAAGATGCAAAAGGACGGTCGACTTCCAGTACTCCCCACCTTTAATCAAATCTCGTCTTCGTACTATTCAAATCCCCTCCTAAGAATGAATACTCCTTGTATGCTTATACTAGAAAGACATGAGCTCATGTGTTATGGTAAACTGGAAGAGCTTATTGTCAGTGCGTGAGGTTGTTGTAGTAAAACAGTTACCCTTAAGTAGGTAGAATATGGCTTTGGGTATACTATAATAAGATCCACATATACCCCATATTCTATCTACTCCAGGGGGACTATAGGGGAAGGGAAT